TCTCAGCTCAGGTTTTGATCTCATGGTCATGAGTTCAACCCTGGCATTGGGCTCTGCACTGGACATGGAGCCTACTTAAAAAAATAAAAATACGTTTAAAAAGTAAATCCTGAGTTTCACATCTTTGGAGGAAATTTAGCCTAGTTTGGGTGATTATTTGGTAAAAATGATCTAGAGAGAGTTGGCTCAGAGCCTACCCATAACATGGTAAGAACATAAAAATGTTGATTGGCTGTGTGTGCACACAAGCAGAAAGCAAGTTGATTTCCATTTATAATCACTGATAATCATAATACTCACAGGATGTTGTATTTTCTCTGTCTTTAGCCTGTTGGTCTTTGCAAAGGTTCTGTGACTCAAGGAGAAATAGAAAAGTTTGTCTCCGTGACTTGTGACTTCTTTGAACGACAGGTATTTTTCAATCTAATTGTTTGTCTTCTCATGAAGAGAGTAGATAATCTAAATCCTAACTGCCCTCTCCTTTTAATTTCCTAAAATCTGTGATCACCACTTTATTCAGGTTGCCCCAAGGTCACACCCACGGGGGTGGCTGGTTAAAGACTAGTCATACTTTTTTCCCCCCCCAGTTACAATGTGGTCCTACAGAATAAGTAAGACTCCTTCAGAAACAGATATCGTAGCTCGGATGGCTCAGGCCTCTGAAACATTAAATCCAGTGTTCCAAAGACCCTTACCCTTTCCAAAAGTATTTATTGAGTGTTAACTATGAGGCAGCCAGCTCTAGTTGAGAGTGTGATTGAGACAGGTCACCTTGTCCCAGTCCAGCTCTGCCACCCGTGAGGTGTGACTCTGGGCAAGTTCTTACCTCTCTGAGTCTTGGTTGCCTTGTCTGTAGAATGGGGTTGCAACACCGACCTTGTTCAGATCCCTGTGGGAAACAATGAGAGGAACTGGATGAAGGGCCCTGTGTGGGGCCTGGCAATGAATAAGCCCTGAATAAAGGTAGCTATGACTGCACTACTGGGAGTAGGGTGACAGCGCCCTGGGAACTTGGAAAAAGCCATTTAACCTTTCCAAACCATTGTTCAGCTCTGAATTTGTGAGACTTGCAGTCAAGCTTCTGTTGTCTGCTTTTGCTTTTTAACCCTTTAACTAGAGGTCCATCCCTCTAGCTGGTCTCCCTTTGAGACATTCCATCAAAAAGTCCCAGAACAGCTTAGCTTGGTACTAGTCATGGCAGGAGTCTTTCCCAGGAATGTTCCCCTATTTGAAAATGTTCTTATTTCAGGTTCCTGCCCCCGGAGGGGAAGACCCTGCTGTTAACCAGGGACCTGCGCACCTCCCTGGGCTGGAAGAGTCCCAGCAGAAAATCGTAACCCCTACTTCCAACTTGCCCCCCAAGGCTGTGCCTAAAGGATCTGTCCAATACCTACCCGAGTTGGATGATGAGAAGAAGCCCGAGGATGCTGAGGAAAACAGCCCTGTTGAGGCCTTTCCTGTGAAGCTGGATCTCACCACAAATCCTCAGGGAGAAAGCCTGGATGTGTCCTTCCTTTTCCTGGGGCCTGTGGAGAAGAAGCTCATTGTCCTGCCTTTTCCCAAGGAAGGACAATGCTCTGCTGAGTGCCCAGGACCAGCCCAGCAGGACAACCCTCTTATTCTCCCACCATGAGAACCACATAGAGGATTCCATGGGGGTGTAGTGCTCTGCAGGAGAAGAGAGGTACTGGGGAAGGGGGGCAGAGAGACAGCTCAAATGTAGAAGAGTGACAAATAAAGTATATCTTTTGATTCTTCTTGGTCTCATCATGTTATCTGGAAGTATAAATACTAAGACTACACTGTCTACTTGTACATGGGGCTGTGTCTCTTCTGAACCATCCAAGGCCTCATACCATGGACAGATGCTCTCTGCCTCCCCTGTCTTCAGTCTCTCCTGCTGTACTCTTACTGACTTTTAGCTAAGTCTCTGATATAGGGCCTGCCATACTTAGGAATGCTCTCTTCTTTCTGGGCAAGAGCACACTGTGATTCTTCTGATCAAAATGAGATGAAAATTGAAGGATATCAAGAGACTGAGATCCATCAGAATGTCATTCTCCTATTCCATAATTTTTTCAACACAATGTATTGGTCAGATATTGTTTGCACAGCCTTCAATCTGAGGGTGGAATTTTGTGTTGTTTTCTGACCTGTCTGAATAGTCTGAGTCCCGGAACTTGATAAACTCACCTATCAATAAGGAGTAGTTGGAAGAGACAGTTGCCTGTGGCCTGTGGTTGAGCCTGGGGAGAACCAAACATTGCTCCAAGTTGGGGAGCTTTCTGACTCCTATAATAGTTTTACTCAGAGTAGAAATTAAGAGCCTGATAACATTCATTCCCAATTTTTTTCACTTAAAAAATAATAGATGTGTATATAATATATATTATGTATATAATGTATATGTATATAAGGTTTATAAGATATGTATATAATGTGTATGTATACACATGTATATTATGTTTGGGTACATATATTTACACAAATATATGTAATACCTGCATATACATATACACACATCTTTTGAAATTTGACAGGTGTTATGGGTTGAATTGTTTCCCCACAATTCATATACTGAAGTTGTAACCCCCAGTATCTCAGAATGTGGTTGTATTTGGATATAAGTCTTTAAAAAGGTGATTTAGTTAAAATGAAATCATTAGTGTGGGCCCTAATACAACATGGGCCCAGATGAGCCCATGGACATGGATGAGCACAGAAGTAAGACCATGTGGGGCACAGAGAGAAGGTGGCCAAGGAGAGAGGCCTCAGAAGAAAGTAACCTGCTGACACCTTGATCTTGGACTTCCAGCCTCCAGGACTGTGAGGAAATTAACTTCTGTCATTTCAGCCACTCGGTTTATGGTACTTTCTTATGGCAGTCCTGGCAAGCTAGTAAAACAGGGAATTTGCAGGTGTAACTATTGTGCTCCAACCCAGCAGCTGTTTCTTAGAAGAGGTACATAGGCCTTGACAGCGTTTAAGAGCATCAGACAATATTCACACACTGTTACTCTTAGCTGCTTCCTATAGGAAGGAAAACGATTAAGTAGGGGCATCATGCCTAGCCTTAGACCCTGTCTCACTCAGAGTCCAACAAGAAACACAATGCATTACTAGCACTGTATGACCTTGAAGGTTCAATGAAGGAAGGGGAAGGGAATGCACGGCTTGTGTGAGCACACCTAAATATCAGCAAAACCAGAGGAAAAGCTTATCTTCATCCCCGGGAGCCTTCCCATCCCCTGCCTTTCCCTCCACCGGCATTTAGTTCCCCCCACAGGCACTCTGTAGTGGGTGTGGCCAGTACAGCAAGAATAGAAGACTTCATTAAGGAGCTCAGCTCATCAAAACATGGAAGTTTCTATGTTCATCTATAGTTTTCTCCCTGCCCCGCCCCAGGTTCGAGCCCCATAGTAACACCTTGGCCAGATTCCACACTATTCTTGTCATTCTAAATTTCAATGAAGAGGTCCTATTTCAGTGTTCAAAAGCTAGTGTCACTAATACTGAAAGTTCACTATCAAGCAAAATTCGAAACGTGTGTCTTCCGTGTTTAGCACTTGCTAAGCCAACCTGTGACTCTGGGAAGTGAGGCCTGCTTTTCATTTCCCCTCCCCTTCCCTTGTCTTCCAATTCTTTCCCTCCCTTCGGGGGTCTGTTTAGAGCCCAGTGGTTCTCAACTGTGAATGTATATTGGAATCACCTGGAAGTTTTCAAAGTACCAATACCTGGGTCCACCCCCAGAGATCCTGATTTAATTGCTCTGGGGAGAAGCCTAGACATAAAGATCTTTAAAAGCCTGTCAGGTGATTCTCAGTAGTATGAGAACCACTGCTATGGTCTTTAGAAATACTCACTGCCAAGAGAGCAGGAAGTGGGGAGCTGTTAGTCAAGGGACTGGTCACGGGAGGGAACCTGGGCCGATTCCCTCTGGTCCTTTCTGATGCTGGCCACTGCTGGTGGGAAGAGTGCGTACAGGAATATTGTTTCTCGAGAAGTGTGGGGGTGGGGTATCAGCTCACTCCCAGGTCTGACCCCCATGCTGAGCCCCTCCTAGGTATAGTCCTCCGAAACCCTTTTCTGGGATGGGCGTCAAATTACTTGACTCCTACCCTCGCCACCATTCTCTTCCACATAAACCAATTCTCTTTAGCACACTTTAGGGGCTACCGAGAACCGGAATGACATGGGGTGCCCCCAACTTCTTCTCAGATACACTAGTGATAATAATGATTATAAGAATACATAGCACCATTTATTCAACACCTGAATCTGTGCCAAGAATTGTACTAGTTACTTTGTATGTGTTTTCTTATTTAAGTATCACACAATCCTGCCAAGAGTTGTGAATCTCCATTTTATAAATGAGAAAATTAAGAATCAGAGAACTTTTACAGCTTACCCAGCATCACACAGTAAGAGAAGGGCAAGTTTGAAATTCAGATCTGACTCCAAAGTAACAGCCTTTTAATCCTTCTATTTTATTCAGATCTCAGTTCCTTTTCTGGTGTTAACCATTTAACATGTTACCTCCTCCTTAAACAATGCAGTTACAGCCTACTGAGGACGTTGGGCACCATAATCAAAGCTGGGAGTGATGGTGGAGATTTCTGGTGGAGACAGGCCCGCAGAGGGAGGGGAACTGCTTTACTTTTAACCCCACCTCACACACCAATGAAGGCAGTGCTTACGGTCAGAAACACTCTCTGAATTTGCTACTACTAGAAAAATCCAGATTTTGTGCAGATCACGGGTCTACCCACTCACCAGCGGCGTGTCTCAACTTTCTGTCCCCAGGGATCCACTAATCATTTACAGCATGTTGACAGATGTTTTAACCAGGGGTCAAGGTGACTCTCCCCGATTACACAACAGAAATGTATAAAGACTTTGTTTAATCAATTGTGTGTGTGTGTGTTTATGTGTTTTAGAAAGTCTATAAAATTCTCTGCTGTGATAAAACTATAGCAAGGGTTGGTGTTCACATTTTAAAGATGAGTGCCTTCAGGTTAGCACTGCTCCTCATCCCTTTAATCGCGCTGCAGAACTCCGCCAGGAGTCCTGCAGACTGCAACGCTACTGAGCCCTTTGCTGGGAAAGTGCTAGACCAGCTCAATAAAGGGACAGAGGCAGGGCTACCTTTTCCAGTTGCTGCAGGTCGCTGATGCCCATGTGGACAAAGCGGTGAGGAATCGGCAGGGCTAGAGCTGAGCTGGGAGACCAGGAGCCGGGGAAGGGGGGCGGGGGGGAGTGGTTCTGACCCCAAAGCTTACTGCTATGCAGGATGGAGTGGCCTTGGCTATGGTTTCCCGTTCAGTTTCTGCTGCTGATCTACAGTGTTCTTTTTTCCTTCAAACTGACATTTGCTATTTGTGTGTCCTTCATTATGAGTCAATCTCTAAGTACTTAGAAGCAGTTATGCCGAGCCAAGCCAAATGGTAAGTACCGTAAGAGAAGACTTAGAGTAAGCTGTGGGCAGGGCCTCAAGGAAAGAATCATTGGCTCACAGACACACACAGGCAAACTGGGTAAAATAGAACACATTCCCGTAGCCAAGTGAGTGGTATAGATGCTGAAGCAATCTAAGGAAAGGAGATCTATTAAAATTGGATGGGAGAAAGATGTGGGTGGGGAATCAGGAAGGAGGGTACCAGGGAGTAATTGCACATAAGCAGAGGGGTGCGGGGGGGGGGGTGGTTCCAGAAGTTTTATGTGGGCTTTGGAGCACCTATCAGGTTGGAAGAGAAATAGGCTTATCTTGAAGCAAAGAGAGCCTGCTGCTTTCACTTAATAATAAGATTATATGCTCATTTAGAGTAGATCTGAAGGCTTGATAGAGATTATGGAAGAAGGCTTCCCTCCCCACCCCACCCCCAAAATAATCTACCCTTTGGTGGAACCGCCAAAATCAAGGAGGACAGACCATGGAGCACCACAGAAGACAAGCAGAGAAATTTCTACTTGTTACAAGTATTAGAGATTGAGGCACTACAGGTTGCAGAGAGGAAGACGAATTGCAGGAATTTAGGATTCAACCAGCAACTTAGTGACCATTAGTCCCATTTCAGGTTCCCTGCCACATGTGTAGGGCACAGGATGGCTTGGCACAGTGCTACCTCTGAGTGGTGCTGAGAGGGTAAGTAGGTGGCTAAGGCAGGGGCACAGTGTGCCTGGGGAGACGGAGGCAGGTGACATGAACTAGGAAGCTCTTTCATGGGTTCGGGAGGGAGGAAATGAGGGCAAGTTGAAATCAAGGCAAGCAATCCAAGTTCAGGAATAGAGTTGGGTGAGAGGACATAACTGCACATACAGATTGGAGGCTGTCATCACTTACAGTTCTGGGCTTGCACCTTCAACACCTCCACCCAAACCCACACTGCTATTTAGTGGTTGCTTTTTAAAGCTTGTGGGCAGAAGCAACATCATGACCAGTTAAAAAGAACATTTGGAAGTAACTTTTTGAAGCTATTTATTCAGAATAAGTAGATCAAATGACACAAAGGTAGGACATCTGTGATGATTTGGAGAGGAGCAGGAATTCTGTTTCAGAAATAGACTGCTTTAATGAAAAAGCACTGGGCTCCCACATGCTATTCACCTGTTGCTCTTTTGGCATTCCTCAGGAATCTGTGGCTGTCTATTACTTAGTCTGGGATGTGAAAGAATCTGACTGTTCAGTCCTATCAGGGAGACACTGGGATGACTGTGAGCCCACTCTTTCTAAATGTGTATCTGATATAGTAAGTAAGCAAGGTACCATTCTCCTTCTTCGATCGTTCCCGACCTCTGTCTACTCTGCTTACTCAGGGTGGCCGAATGCCTGTGCTAACACAATGAGAAAGGAAGAGCAGATTCTACCTCTTGACCCATGAAGACTATGTTGACCTTGAGGAATAGTCTCTTGAGAGCCATACTTGGGATCCCGGTTCAAGACGAGTCAGTGGGGATTGTGCTCCCATGGGATAACATGCCCAGCTGTGAGCCCTTGGGCAAATCACCTGAAGTTGCTAGACTTTGGCCTCCTCCACTATAAGAGGAGAGGTTTAGAGTAGCTGGACTCGAAGGTCCACTCTAGGGATCTAGGAACCTCTGAACTTGTGAGTGTGTCCTATAAAGACCGGCCCCATAGGCAGGAATAGCCAAAGGGATTTACTGCAGTGATCTTGAGGAATAGGGTCTTGTTCTACATGTTGCTCGTGGGCACTCAGACACCAGATTCTCCAGCACGGGAAGAGAACGCAGAGATGACTAAGCATATACATAAGATTTCATTTCTAGAAAATAAGACGTTGACATACCTAGGACTTTCAGCACTTTTTCCCGTTGAAAATGTTTGGGATATGATCATGATCTGTTTAAACCGTTTCTCCCTGGTTCTCGTGAGGGTTTTGGATGCCTACAGCGATCAGCTCACAGAAGCAGACTAAGAAAATAGAGGTGGTGAAAGAGGATTTGGTGAGAGAAAACAAAGATGAATTCTCAATGGATAGTAGGAGTAAGTGACATCACTTTTTGTCCCCTCACATTCAACCCGAGGAAAGCAGTTTTCATTGACATGAACCCTTTTCTCTTACCGGTGATTGGACAGTGTAAGGTGATAGCGACACAATGTTTGAATGACTCTCAGCATTTCAGAGTGAATGACTATAACTGCACCACAAGGTCTGGTATGGTCATCTGTGAAAATGCTAATTCTAGATTAATATAGAATTCAATCATACTGTGGTATTCATCATATAATGCTAAGATAGACATATCAGAAATGGCCCCTGCCCTCATGGACTCAATTATTATTTGCTCTCTTCAGAGGAAATGGGAAAGGGTTTTCTTCTGTTACTGGTATGCCTTCTCTTAAAGAAATTCAATATATAAGAATAGAAATCTATGAGAGGCAGGACAGTGACATTGTAGAGAACGTAGGCTCTGAGGTCAGATTTGAGTTTGAATCCCCGCTTCCTCACTTATTAGTTGTATCATCTTGAGGGCAAGTTACTTAACCTCTTTAAGCTTTCCTCCTTTATAAAATAAGGATAATAATAGTATTAGCCTTCTGGATCCTTCTTAGAATTAAGTAAGATGCTCTATATAGTGCACTTTGCAGAATACTTAGCACTGAATTATTGATTTCAATATCTAAAAGTTATGTATTACGGTAGAGTTCACAAAGCGGTTACACAGATTATCCCATTTCATCTTACAAGAAGACCATACAAGGTAAAGATTATGATACTTTCTATTTTAGAGATAAAATAACTGAGGCTCCAAGAGGTTCAATGCCTTGGCCTTGAGAACACAGCCAAAAATGTGAAAGACATGATCTTATTTCACCAGTGTTGACTCTAAATGCCATGCTCTTTTTATTTTTTCCAAAAGAATTATCACAGAATTCCTTTAAAAATTGTCCATTTCAACATGATTCAATATACAACAACTTAATAGCCAAGCAACTCCTTCAAGAAGTCACCTTGAAGAAAGGTTGACCTGTATCTTCTCTCTCTGGGCAAAACTCTGTTAATGATGCCCCTCCCTCCTTGGAGAGACAGGAGGAGTTTAGTGAAGTATTAACACTTTGTGAGTGATGGGAAGGGTGTCTCAATGGAGTCACAACAGAGACTTAAGCATCAGAAGGATCTGAGTTTAAGTTTAGCTCTGCTGTTGACTGGCTGTTTTGATCTCAAACAAATCACTTAGCTTCTCCAACCCTCAATTTGCCCATCTGTAAAATGGAAGCTCTGGTTACTTTTGCCACCATGCTTATGTATATTAAGTCCCAGCGTTGACATTGCTGTTTCCAAGCTGGTACTGCAAAATTTTCATCTTCTTTCTCCAGTCTCTTCGGCACTGGCCAATACCAAAGACAGCCCTGTACTCTTCGACTTCTTAGAAGAGCCTGAGCTTTACAGAAAACTAAACCGACAAAGCCCTTGAGAAGTACCAACAGGAAAATGGAGATTTTGCCTCTTTCAGAGTGGACCGCGTGGAGAGAGTTGTCAGAGGGGTGAGTCTCTTCTCACGTGAGCTAGCATCTGAGGGCCCAGCTCCAACCTGGCTGGTCCAGACTCAGTGGCACGGGCCCTCTCCCCCGGCCTCACATGTCCAGCTCCTTTCTAACTGAGGGCCCTCTTGCAGCCTCAATAGAAAGGCAAGAGATACCAAAGAAACTGTTTTCCTACAGTTTTTTATTTTTTGGAGTTGTGGGGAGTAGAAATATCTACTGAAGAGGAGGGAAAACTCAGAGAGGAAAGAGGGAAAGACAGAAGAGCATTATTAGGGTTATGTGAGTCATTAAAAATCATCCCAGGGACGCCTGGGTGGCTCAGTCGGTTAAGCGTCTGCCTTCGGCTCAGGTCATGATCCCGGGGTCCTGGGATCGAGTCCTGCATCGGGCTCCTTGCTCAGCAGGGAGCCTGCTTCTCCCTCTGCTTGTGCTCTCTCTCTCTCTCTCTCTCTCTCTGACAAATGAATAAATAAAAAATCTTTAAAAATCATCCCATCCTGACCTCTTTGTATGACGATGGGAAACTGAGGCACAGAGAAACCGTCTCGGCACACCCGGTGACGCGGCTGGGGTGAGACAGCTCCCCTGCCTTCCAGTCCAGGGGCCCAAGTGCCTCCCACCCAGAGGGGTCTTACAAAGCAGCTCTTTGATGTCTATCTTGCACTTGGAAAATGCCAAGTTAAATTATGGTGTGTATAAGTCATGGAATGAATACGGCACAATTACTAGAGAGAATATGCACGGGGAGGAGTTCCTAAGGGGAAAAGCAGGTTAGGGAACGATACTTAGACTCTGAGCCCATTTGTGTAAATTAGATATGTGTGTATATGGGCAACATATTGAGGAAAAGGCTAGGAGAAACACATCAGATCTGTGGTAGAGGTACCTCTGGGAAGAAGAGATCGGGTGTAGGAAGGCTGAGTTTTCACACTGTGCTTGGTTATGTCTATATTATTTGCCCTTTTCAACGAAATAGCATTTACCTTATCACTTATGTGATAAATTTTTGAAAGGCAGCGGCCATAAGGCACGTATTGGTGCTTTTGAATCCCTGTGGTGCTTTACAGTCTCCTTGGGTAGTAGATATCTACTGCCTTTTTCTTTTTTTAACTTTTTATGTGCCTGAAACTGCTTTGACCCAATTTGTCCTAGAGAGGAGAGGAAAGAACCAACTACTATGTGGACTTCTCTGTGAGGAACTGCTCCAGGAGACCCCATTTTCCCAGGCACCCTTATGTAAGTATAATAAACGTCTCTGAAATACTAGGTAACGTTTAGAGACCACCCCCCATGTGTCAGGCACCCTTCCAAGTGCTGTACACATACATTATTAACCCTACCACCACCCTGTGAGGAAGATATTATTTTTCTCTCTCTTAGAGATGGGGAAACTGAGGCACAGGGAAGTTAAATGAATCATAAGAGTACGATTTTATAATAGGCACAATAAATACCTAAACTTAACACTGAGATTTTTTTGAACCCACTAGGGCTAAAGACTTAGCTAAAACTAACAACTGGCTTGCATTAAGAGCCTACACCATGGGTGCCTTTGTTCATTTCATTTCATTTACTCTTCACAGTGACCCCATGTGACAAATATGGAGTAACGGAGGATCAGCAGAGCGTCTTGCCCAATGTTCCATAACCAAGCTGAGATTAGAATCTGGTTCTCCTAATGCTCAGTCCAGTAGGATTTTCCCCCTAATCACTTATAAATTGATACTCATGTATCTGTAGAAAGATTTTATTAATAAAACTCAGCATTTGTAGGGTGACTTAGAGTTACAAAACACCTCCACGTATATTATTGCCTTGTTGGATCCCTGTGACAACCGTGCTGAGGAGAAGCAAATGTCTACCCCCATTTCCATGGGACAGAAGGGCCCAGAAGTTTAACCACTTGCCTAAGGGCACTTAACTAGAAAGTGTTACGACATAGGATTTTAACAGCGGCCTTCTGATTTCAAGTTCAGGATAACAACACGTTCTCCAGGGCCAGAAGAGAGGAAGCACTCATTAGTTCCTTTTCTGGCTGGTCAGTGTTCCCACCTGAAGCAGTTCTAGAACCCTGCTTAGTGGCCACCAGAAAAGCTACCTCCCTCTCCCCCTCCCTTCTTCAACAAATCCTTAACAACCCAGTGCAGACACATGGCAGCTGGAGAAGGCGTCTCAGTGCTGAATGTTTTTGCCGCATTATCTCATTTAACTAAGCCCTCCCACAACCTGAAGGTAATTAGAAATTTCCTGTAACTTGCCTAAACTCACACAACTAGTAAATGGTGAAGGCAGAATTCACAGAGCTCTGTCTGACTCCAAACTGTTCTCAGAATCTCAGTGCTTAACTGTCGCTTCTGGAAAAGCATTGTCTTCTTGTCCGAGTCTAACTTTGACAGCTGGGTGTAGGAGCCTCTGCGGCATAGGGATGCCAGCCAGTCATATCCTCTGTACTTGAGATAGGGCCCTAAGTCACTTTGACAGGGTCCAGCAAACCCATTTTCATACCAGTTCCCTCCTTTCCAGCACTTTCCTTCAAGGGTCTGGGTAAAGTTGTACAAATCCCTCTTCTGCACCACTCTTCATTCTCTCTAGGCACAGGAAACTTGGGTCTTCAGTGCAGAACGGTTGGACGAAAGGCAAGGTGTCAGTGATGTGGTATTTCTAATGACCCCCCCATGGGGTGACCCCTGGTGGTGGCCCCTCATGGAAGAGAACCACAGCAAGTTGAAGTGAACCACTTTGGAAACTGCACTTTCTCCAAGTATTGGCTGGGAAAGATGGTTAAATAACTAGCAGAGATATTTGACAATATTACCCTGATTTTTCTAAAGCTCATCTTCTTTCCCAGATGTATAAAAGTTTACAACACTAGCTGTGCACATTCATACCACCTGCACACACACACACACACCCATACATACACACACTAACAGGCTTCTCTCTTCTTTATAAGGTCTTTGGATTCTGCAGAGCAGATTTGTCCTATGATGTAGGAGTCTCTGACTTGGAAACCCCGGAAGACATTGCCATAAACTGTGAAGTCTTCAATTTTGAGGTGGGTTGCTTAAATAGTCTTTGTTATGAGCAGTGCCAGACTAAGAGATATTTTCATACACATAGTGTATTTTGTTCTTATAGCTCTGGGGGTGGTGGGGAGATAGGCAGAGAGATGAGAGGAGGCTGAAAAGAAATACAGAGAGAAGAGGCCCCTGGGGAACGAATGGGGTCCATGGCTGATATGACACAAAAAGTATAAAAAATTTCCAACTGGGGAGAGGTAAGATTTGTAAAGTAAAACCAACCGATCCAATCAACCTTTAATGAATTTGAAAATGGTCCTTGTAGCCAAGGCTCTAGTCCTGAGACTCAATTCCTAGCTTTTAGTATTAAGCATAGAACCTAAGGGGAATGAATTAACCTCAAACACATTAGATAAAGGTACATAAAATAAGGCACAAAGCAATATTTCACATCTGTCCCAGAAAGCTTTGTTCTGTACCAAGATATTCATCACAGTATTTCTCATGTCAGCAAAAACTGAAAATAATCCAAATGTCTATGTGCCAAACCATAGAATAAAGAGGGGAAGGGGCAAGGCAGGTTTATCACCACGAACATGGCTCCACAGATTTTTTTTTTTTTAATTAAAATCTGAACAAGAAGGAGCGTGAAGAGATGAAGTACTCATCCTTTAGGAGTAAGAGATGATTATACCATAAAGCCTCAGAACTCTGTTGAAGATGTAAATTATAAGGCATTAGTTTTCCAAGTGTTGGTCTACAGATAAGTACCATTCTACAATATAATTTCACCATTTTATGTTGAAATGAGAAAAGTAGGGATAAGTAAAGTTTTTCATAATACAACATTTATTGCATCTAAAGAACCACCCTTTACTCTGAGATATCTTTCTGACTCTTGTATCATCAAAATATTATTCTGATTGTGAAATAATGATGGTGGCAGATGATAGTTTTTGTATTTAATTTTATTTTTTTAAGATTTATTTATTTAAAGAGAGAGAGCGCGCACGCAAGCAGGGAAAGTGCAGAAGGAGAGGAAGAGAGAGAATACTAAACAGATGCCCTGCTGAGTGTGGAGACTGATGCAGGGCTTAATCTCACAACCCTGAGATCACGACATGAGTTGAAACCACGACCAGACGCTTAACTGACTGAGCCACCCAGGCACCCCATTGTTTGCACTTTAAGTGTCAGTTTGGCTGGGTAAAAGTTTGAGAGCCCTTTGTTGCTATCCTATTTTTAAAATTGATTTGTAGAATCCAGAAGCCATTGGTCTAAATTGAGTTGCACATCTAACTTCTTTTGTGTTATATGATAATATTCACTTTTCTGTATCCTTTACCAGGAATGTAGGAACATCAGTGGTATACCACACCATTTTGGCCATCCCCACCACTCTGGTGGGCATGAGCATTCTCTTGCTGGCAGGCCTCCATTTAAGCCTGATGAATTTAGAGATCACCATCATCCCCACAGGCCACACACATTTGAATGCCCACCTCTTCTAGAAGACAGACCACCATTTCAGGCAGAAGCTTCTCCACTGTTGCCCCCTCTAGGGTCAAGATGTCATCACCCCCACTTTGGCACCAGTGGGACCCATGGACACCCTCATAATCGTAGTTCCAGGGAGCACCATCCCCATGGACCCCCTCATCATAGATCCCCTTGTCATGGACCCCCTCATCAAGGACCCCCTCCTCATGGGCCCCTGCCTCACGGGCCCCCTCCTCACAGACCCCCTCCTCACGGGCATCATCCCCATGGACACCATCCCCATGGACACCATCCCCATGGACACCATCCCCATGGACACGATTTCCTTGACCATGGGCCTTGTGACCCACCCACCATGGGGTCCCGAAGATCACCAGGGTCCCGAAGATCACCATCGCCAGGGACATGGCCCACCATCTAGGCACTCAGAAGAAAGAGGTCCAGGTAAAAGACCCTTTCCCTTCCACTGGAGACAAATCGGATATGTTTACCAGCTCCCTCCACTAAAGGAAGGTGAGGTTCTTCCTCTTCCCGAAGCCAATTTTCCCAGCTTCTCATTGCCAGGTGACAACAATCCTCTAAAGCCAGAAATTCAGCCCTTCCCTCAATCAGTTTCTGAATCATGCCCAGGGACATTTAAGAGTGAGTTTTCACATGTCTCGAAGTTTTTTGCATACTTGCTTCCAAAATAAAATCTGATTTCCTCGATGGGGTAAACTTAATATTCTGACTTAAATCATAAATAAAATATGATCAATAATGAATACAAAATTCATGTATTTTTACCTTACTTTCATATTCAGGATAGGGCAAATGTGGGTGGGGGAGGAGATGGCATGAGAGAGAGAGACAAATGGAAAGGAGGGGAAAGATGTCAGTGCTACAAGTCAGTCACTGACCACTAAATCCTTGCGGCAAATCTCTGAGCCTCTTTCTTTCCTGGATTTAACTCCTTTAACTCTAGGGTCTTTCCTCACTGAGTACTTACGCTGTAGTTGGGCATACCAAGAAGGTATGTTTTATCAGTCAAGGGATTATTCTTCTCATCTAAAATTCAAATTCCCTCCTAATTGTTATTTCTAGTCCTCTAAATTTCCCTTTGGAAAAAAAATAAGTTCTAAATTCAATTACGATGCAATCAAGGCTTGGGCGATGAATTGCAAAGAACGTTGCAGGTACAAATCATGACCATAAATTCAGGGGCACAAGAAATATCACTTTATTTTCAGAACAAATTAATTTCCATTTCAGGCTGCCATCCTAGTCGGTTAATAGAAGACTTAACCTCAGTCCTTCTTTGAGTTCCTTCACCCTGCTACTCCCCACAAAAAGTTGTGCCACAGTTATAGAATTTCATGTAGTGCCAAGGTGTTTGGGTGGTGGGCATGAGAAGGAGGTCTGAGTCTTCATCTCTGGTCCACTAGGTTCCCTGCTGCTGAGGGATACTTACTACCCTGTACACATCCCTCTTTGGGTTTAGTTTATCAGCTACCGCTGCATCAAACTGAAGGCATAAGAGTCTCTGCAAGACTGCTAGTGAACATATCTGCCCTGGGCTCTTCTCCCTGAGATCTTGCTGCCTTCCAAGCTACATGCCCAGAAAGCAGGGCAGAGGTGTTCTCTGCTTCAAGACACCCAGAGACATTGTTCTTCTCATATCTTGCCCCCCAGCCCAGGGTTGCTCTAGTCTCAGGTAACTTCTCTTTATTCAGTTTTAGTCTAAGAGGACTCTTTCTCCACAATCAAATACTCTTTCTTTTCCCTTCTTCCCAAGTCAGGGCTCAAGCATTTAGACATAGGCTAATAAAGCTTTGGGCTTGCTACCTGACTTACTGGAAGCAGTTGCAGGTACATAGTGATGGCAGAAGGTATATTCGTGTGTGTGTGTGTGTGTGTGTGTGTGTGTGTGTGTGTGTGTGTGTCTGGGCCGGGGGGTGGAGGCAGTGGGTTATAGGGGAAAGAAAAAAAAAAAAAACTAAGGCTAAAAGAGATGTGGGTAAGTTGGTTGTTAGGCTGGGAAAAAGGAGGGGCCCACAAAGAGGCAGAAGCTGAAACTGGAAGAGGGAGGAGATGTCTACCAGCGCACAGTGCAGGAGGAGTTGGAATCGGAACTTGGGGTTTATCAGAAAGGTTCCTTAGGTTTGGTGAGTAGACACCCAAATCCACCACACCAGAAACAAATGCAAGGATGGGGGAGACAGGGCTTCACTCAACACATCTCTTCTTATGCTTGTCTCCTGTCTCCTCCACCCTGGGGAGCAGTTTCCTTTCTAGAACCAATACAATTGAATGGAGAGAGGCTGACTTGACCAGAGACCAGAGAGGATGCCCATATTTTATTTTTAGTTGCACTGGCGTCCTGGTGTGGGACTTCCGGCATGCACTACGTCCCTGTGCATGGGCTCCCCAGGCATGCGACGTGATTGGTAGCAGCCTGCTTTTCTGCAGCTAGATATCTTGCAAAGAAATGATTAAAAGTATCTGTACATTGTACTCATTGTCACATTGTTGTCCCATATAGTGACCTTCATAAAGAGCTTTGGGAAAGGGAATAACAGGTGATTGGTGTTTTTTTCCTCCTTCTTTAATAGTTTCTGTTCTAATTTGTTATGCAACATTGTGCAATCACCTGGAAATGTGCTCTGTGCTCCCACGTACTTCCTGAATGCAAACAAGCAGGTTAACAACCCCAGTGTTGTAATGTTTCAGCCTGAAATCTGCTTGGATAACCCAACAGAGCCATTTGTCCTTTGGAAATAGGGTGAATTGCGTATGGCGGCAGGAATCCACCAGGTTTGGGAGCGCTGAGGCAGAGAGACACACGTACAGAAATAAAAGGCTGGGAATAGCTAAAATTGACATCCAAGTTGGCGCTGGCGCCCGATTCTTGGTGAAACCATCCCTCGGCTCCTGGAGGGAGACTGCTAAATCATGAAATTACTTGCCTTGCTTTTTGTCTGCTCCAGGCTGCTACCAAGTTTAACCCAGGAGTCCTCACAAGAAATCGACTGTGATGACGAGGACTTATTTAAGGCAGTAGACGCTGCGCTGAAGAAATATAATAGCAGAAACCAAAGCGGCAACCAGTTTGTGTTGTACCGTGTAACTGAGGTCGTCAGGACGGTGAGTGAGCTGTGTCTTACCCTGAGGTCATTTGAGATGTGTGCTGTCACTCGGAGCCCAGCCCCTCCCCCACCACACACACACACACACACACACACACACACCACCACCACCACCACCACCACCAACAACAACAACAACAACACCATCAACAACAAAAATCACCAAAGCAAAGGTAGAAGCTTACAGCTCTTAGAAAAGATCAACACCACTCTTTGGCCCCGGGGGTGCAGGGCAGGGTATGACTAGTCCTCAGGCGGCCAAGCTTGGCTTCCTGGGTGATCAGGAAAGCAGGGTGTAATGAGACAAAGTTAAATGGAGTCATGTGAAAGAAACTGTTCGGAGTGGGAGAATCCAGGAACTCAATGGGACCGCAAAAAAGGACTTACTGGGTGACCAGCCCTTAGACGAAAATATGAAGACCTCCAGACCACAGGTGGGGAGGGGATCCTTATGTCTAACAAATACTGTGTGATCTCATTTATATGTGGAATCTAAAAAAATGTCTAACTCACTGAAGCAGAAAGTAGAATGGTGATTGCCAGGGGCTCAGGCTGGAGGAAACAGAGGGTGCTGGTCACAGGGTACAAACTTCCAGTTATAAGACGAGCAGGTCCTGGGGAGCTAAGATGCGGCATCATGACTATAGTTAATAATACTGTAGTGTATACTTGAAATTTGCTATGAGACTAGATTTTAAGTGATCTCACCACACATACACACCCACAAAAGGTAACTACATTGGGCGATGGATGTGTTAATCAGCTTGTTTGTGACAATCACTTCACAATGTATGTGTATATATGTATATATATCTCATCACATTGCACACTTTTGACATATGCAATTTTCATTTGTCAATTATACCTCAAGAAAGCTAGGGGGAAGGGAGAGTTACATCTAAGAGGAGGCAGAAATGAGATTAACATGCATTAGACAAAATGTCGATCAGTCTGTATGGCCGAATGCATCAAGGGTAACAGTGACGTTCTAGATGGTTTTTAATATTTTTTATAACTAATTGATGCACACAGGTTGGAGACAAATCCTGACAGTATGTGTGATTTCAAAAAAATACTAATCTTTTGATAGTTTGTTTAAATGAATTTCGCTATAAAACTCTATGCCTATCATAGTTAAGTAACTGTTTACTTTGGCAGAGGAGAAAAGTCCAGTCATTTGACAAGATCAGGATAAAGAAAAAAGCCCACAGGACATGATTTTTTTTTTTGCTGAAGGTAAAATTGAGCCATTCTGTCTCACAAACTAGTGTAATGATGCAGACGTTTGGTCCTGGTCCTCTCAAGCAACAGTTGATTGGTGTTCTCTTCATTGGGTGACATCCATGACAAATGTGCTTTTTTGTTCTAAAATGTCCATGGAATCATGCTTTACTTTGCCATATGGGCACCATCTATACCACTACTGCCTACTTCTTTATCAAAATCTGAGACCTGGAAGGAACTTGGGAGACCATGATGTTTGACTCAATCATCCCAGGTGCAAATAAAGTGAGGCAAGCAGGCTCTGAGAGTCAGGAGACTTGGGATCTGGGGCCCGTTCTGCCTTTTCAAGGTGTGGCGGCTGCCTCAGCGCTGCCCGTCTACTTGGGGCTTCCTTTCTTTCACCTGCAAAGTGATGGGCTGGACAACATCACCTCTCCAGTCCCTTGCTGTTTGAATGCCAGGATTTTCCATTTGGAAAGCTCACCTCACTCAACACCTTTGCACTTTCTTTTTTTTTTAATTGAAGTGTAGTTGACACACAAAGTTACACTAGTTTCAGGTGTACGACATAATGGTTTGACAACTCTGTATGCTACACGATGCTCACTACAAGTGTAGCCCCCACCTGTCACCATACAACGTTACGACGGTGTCATTGCCTATATTCCCTAGGCTGTGTCTTTCATCCCCGTGACTTACTCATTCCATACCTGGGAGCCTGTAACTCCCTCTCCCCTTCACACATTTTACCCATCCCCACCGTCCTCTGCCCTGGCAACCGTCAGTTTGTTCTCTGTGTTTAGGGGTCTGTTTCTGCTTTTGGTTTGTTCATTTGTCTCATTTTTTAGATTCCACATATAAGTGAAATGATATGGTATTTGTCTTTCCTTGTCTGATTTATTTTACTTAGCATAATACCCTCTAGGTCCACCCATGTTGTCATAAATGGCAAGATCTCATTCTTTTGTATGGCTGTGTAATACTCCATGATACATATATGTATACACCAAGGTGTATATACACACACACATATTCTTTATCCATTCATCTATTGATGGACATTGGAGTTGCTTCCATATCTTGGCTACTGTAAATAACGCTGCAGTAAACATATGGATGCATATATCTTTTCACATTAGTGTTTTTGTTTTCTTTGAGTAAATACACAGTAGTGGATTGCTGGATCATATGGTATTTCTATTTTTAATTTTTTAAAGAAGCTTCATACTGTTTTCCATGATGGCGGCACCAATTTACATTCCCACTGACAGTGCAAGAGGGTTCCTTTTTCTCCATGTCCTCACCAACACTTGCTATTTCTTGTCTTTTTGATTCTAGTCATTCTGACAGATGTAAGGTGATATCTCCTTGTGGTTTTGAATTGCAGTTCCCTGATGATTAGTGATGTTGAGCATCTTTTCAGGTGTCTGTTGCCCATCTGTAGGTCTTCTTTAGAAAA